TGGTGTTAATGTAGATACAAAAATGAAGAAAGATTTTGTACACCTATGTAGGTTTATATTTTTCAAAAACCTATTTTAATAAGTGTACTTAAATGCTTTGCTCTCCCTTCTAACCCACCATCCACCAGAGGTTGTAGAAAGGAAAGGTTTATAGAGCAAAAGAGGATGTGGACATGTTTAGAAATAGTTTTTTGGGACAAATCCAATCTGCATTGTCAGGATATCAGTAGATCAGTTCCAGCAGCGGTAGCTTGATCAACTCGCAAACACCATTCACAAATCAGCAACAGCAGTTTGATCCAGAAGAAACCATGAGGCTCGGCCAATTAGCAGAAGTCTGGAAGTGGTAAGAAACTGCTGGAACACCACTAGAAGTTTTTTGTTGTGTGTGTGTGTTTTTTTTTTTCTGTGAAATCATGACAAATGATGATCAGCAACGAGTGGCAAGGTGAACCAATACCACACAGTGTCATCTATTGTCTGTTGGGTTATATTTATACCATTTCCAAACGTCATGTGTTCTCTCAAGCATTCACTCTAGCAAAACATCATATGCCCTTTTCCCAAGCAGCTCCCAGAAAAGCACGTGGGAAGATGTGAAGTAGAAACTTGAGGGTTCTTTGGAGAGCCAGTTGTGTTGGGTGGTGTTTTGCTGAGGCGAACACCTAAAGGAGTGTTTTTCTTAATCTATCACACAGGTGACAGACTAAGGCAAACTCATGAAGAAATGTTTCACTGAAGCAGACACAGTAGAGAGGATGTTCCAGTAAAGCAAACACGTGAAAGGTCATGTGATGAAAGATTCTTTGCTAACAGCACACATGTACTGGTCTGCCTTACATTGCATAGTTGAGCTCCATTTGTCAAGACTCCTCAGACTCGGGCTGATTGAATGTATGTGCTGAGGCAAGTTACATGGAGGACACATGATGTTTGGAGGGTATAAATAGGACTCAACTGAGTGACAGAGAGAGAACTAGCTGTTCAATACTTGTTGATTATGCATCTTCTTTGCTGATCTTCACTTCCCTGAGAGAGGCCCAGCCAAGAACTTCCCCTGTTGTCCCTCCTGGTCCCTCCTACTGACTCAAGCCAAGGCGGGAGCTGGCTGTCTCATTGCTGTTGATAACCTGACTTTACCGACCTGGACTGCTGGCGGATCCATGAAGTGTTTGCAAGTGGATTGAGCTGCCACTGCCTGCTAACCTGTGAACTGAACTGCCAATTTCCAGACAACACAGTTGGGAATTGCTCCAAAGAACCTTTCTAAACAGGCCCACTTCCCCCATATCCTTTCTTTTCCACTACCTGGTAGGTGGTAGGCTACAGAGGAGGTTAAAGTGTTTAAAAGAACCATCATTAAAAATAAGGTTTGAAAAAATTAAAGTTACAAGGATGTTTTGATCTCAGTATGTCTTCTTCAGCGAAAATATCCTCTCATAAGACAAGTTTCCAGAAAAATCATATGACATAATTGAAGAAACTAGAAATTTCCACTTCATGCCTATGATATGATCTTAAAAATAAACGTGCAAGGTAAACTAGACATGGTGGTGCATGCTTTTAATCCCAGTACATGAGAGTCAGAGGCAAGTGTATCTCTGTGAGTTCAAGGCCAGCCTGGTCTACAGTGCAAGTTCCAGGACAGCCAGGGCTGTCAGACAGAGAAACCCTGTCTTGAAAAAACAATTTTTTAGGGGAAGGTAAAGAGATCTTGCCAGGAGATTTTAGACTAAGTCCACAGGCATTCAGATCTGCTAAGTAATCTCCTTTAGCTTCTATGGGGTCTCTTGTATAACAGGTCTTTACTCTTACTGCCAGCTATTTCGGGAGTAGCATCAGGTCATTTAAGCACACAAGTGGCCATATTTACTCTTAGTTTTAGCAACTTGGCATGCCTTGAGAAGGTCATACATCACTTATTTAAGTTGATTTGGTTTCTTGTTAAGTAACCAGCTTCTGCCAGAGACTAGACCAGTTTTTGTGGGAGAGTTAATGTGACAAAGAGGTAGCACCCTCAGTGTTCCATTTGGATGCAAATGGCTTCAGACTGTCTTTGAATGACATAGATTCTATGCATTTCTCCACCAGTGCTCCAAAGGCTGCACCAAAGATTGCCCTCTTCTGCTCTAACACGGAGAGATGTAACAGTGGCCATTACACAGCTGTTTGCAGTAGTCTGCTGTCTTCTGCATTAATCTATATGGTTTTTATGCACCATAGCACTTAGCTAAATGGAGTGCTAGTAGCACTCATCATTGTACCCTTCAAATATTTGAAAATGATGTCAGTTTATTATTAATTACAGCAGAGCCTCTCTCCACTCCTCTGAAAGCTTCAATTATCTTATATTAGGATATGCGATTTTGATGCACACCTGGAACTTACTGGTGTTTTCTAGCCTTTTGCTTTTTGTGTTTCATTCCTGACTGTCCCTACTGGTGTTTTTCATATCTTACATTGATTAGAACGGAGGCTTCCATTTTTCTACTCCTCCCACACTATTTTTATTCCAGAGGACAAGGATTTTCTGTGAAAGGTCTATCAACACCAGGCAGTGGTGGTGCATGCCTTTAATCTCAGCACTCAGGAGTCAGAGGCAGGTGATTCTCTGTGAGTTCAAGGCCAGCCTGGTCTACAGAGCGAGTTCCAGGACAGCCAGGGCTACACAGAGAAACCCTGTCTCAAGAAACAAAAGAGTCCCACCAACTGTTAGTGGTATCCATGTTTGAAATACACACCTCAGAACTCAGAAGTTGGGTAGTCTGAGGACATTCCGGGCTACATAGCAAGGATTTGCTTCAAAAGAAACCATCTAGGTTGGGGTGTCATTCAGTAAGCACTGAAGACCCTGCCTAAAACAAAACAACATAATAACAAAGAACCCTAAGGAAGTAAACCCAAGGTGACTCTCTGGACAAAGTGGACCTACTAGGTCCCTGGATCAGGACTCCATTTATTTTTCTGATCTTCATATATACCCTAGCCCAAGTAGACTCTACCTCTTTTAAAATATTCATATCTTCACGTGTGGGGCTTTCTGATCTTTCTGTCTTTCTTTCTGTCTTTCTTTCTGTTTTTCTTTTTTTCTTTTTAATTTTTGGCTCTTGAGACAGAATCCCATGCAGCCCAGGCTGATCTCTAACTCACTTTGTAGCCAAGGATGACATTGAACTCCTGATTCTTCTGCCTCCACCTCCCAAGTGCTGAGATTCCAGGCATGTACAACAGTGTCTAACCTTTCCTATCCATCCAAACCTCCTTTTAAAACTGAACCTAGCTGATATGAAGTTTTGTGATAAAGAATCAGCAGCTATTTAGAAGACCCAAAACATCGGTGTCAACTTCAGAAATTATCACATCTAGGTTAGGGCTTCAACCTTGGCCGTGGATGTACACCAGACTAATGAAGTAACAACTTCTAAGATAACTGTGCTGGTTTTTAAACATGTGTGTATGGGTGTTTTGCCTGCATGTAAGTCTACAAATCATGCACTGTAATTATAGATGGTTGTGACACACCAGGTGGATACTGGGGATGGAATCCTTGTCTTCAGCAAAAGCAGGCTCTTGACCACTAAACTAGCTCTCCATTCCAGCATTTTCTAAGTCTCCAGATGATGCTAAAGTTCTCCAAACACCTGACTATGATAAAGCTAGAGACCCAAAGATATTTCAGAAGTATTGAGCACTGCCTGGCCCACAGGACATTATCTGGGCTGAAATACTGGTGAACAAACCTGAGCAGACTCTCGGGGAGGTCATATAATGCTTCTGGACAGCATCTTAAAAGCTTTTAAACAACAGCAATAAAAATTTGCCTTCCCTCCAAAATATAATGCTTCTAAATGCTGCTGATTCTTTATCACAAACTTCATAGCAGCTGGGTTCATTTTTAAAAGGAGGTTTGGATGGATAGGAAAGGTTAGTGGGCAGTTGTACAATTTCAGTCAGCTTTTTTTTTATTTAAAAATATTACTTATTTATTTTATGTATATGAGTACACTGTAGCTGTTTATACACACACACACACACACACACACACACACACACACACAGAAGAGAGTATCAGATCCTATTACAGATGGTTGTGAGCCACCATGTGGTTGCTGGGAATTGAACTTGTGACCTCTGGAAAAGGAGTCAGTGCTCTTACCCGCTGAGCCACCTCTCCAGCTCAGTCAGCTTTCATAGTCTGTATTCCTAGCATTTTAGAGACTGAGGCAGGAAGATTAAGTGTTCAGGGCCAGCCTTGGCTACATGAGATGCTGTCTTAAAAAACTTTTAAACAACAGCAATAAAAAGTTGCCTTCCCTCCAAAACAAAACAAAAACAAAAGCAAAACCCTCAGATCACCAATGACTACTACCATAGCTCAGCGGAATACTGGAAGGCCAGACTGTAACTACAGTTTGACCTGTTTTCTGAGCCTGTTCCACGCTGTAGTTTAAGACCAATCACTAGGTAGCTACAGCTATCGATTCTTACAATCTTTCTTTCTTTTTTTTAATGTTAAAGTAGTTTTCTCTTTAATCCCTGTAAGAATAATATGTGCAATAAAATCATTTGTGTGTACATACAGTTAAAATAGAAACAAAACTGTCCAGGTGAATGAAAGGGACCAGCAGGAGGGTGAAGGGAAAGGGGAAAGTACATGTGTGTAAATACATCAGTGTACATGACATACGTGAGTGTAAATAGTGTATCTGATGCACCTGTGTATAAAGATGGTCATAGATCATGAGGTACTTGTATGTAAATGCCTTTATGAAACCTACCACTATGTATAATGTATACATTATATGAAAATAATGTGCAGAAAAGCATGAGAGCTTATTATTCAGACAAGTGACTGTGCTTTAACCACTCTGTTTTCCATTTCTATCATTGTATTGTCAGAGGAAATCCAGGAAGAGTAGTCTCTGGGTCTGGAGAGCCATCCAACGGACTTTGAAACAGCTTCTGTTGCATAGTAACTCCCGAGCTGCCACGCTGTTGGCACCTGAGGTCGTTTTCACGGTGTTGGATATCTTTGCTTCCACCCTTCTTCTGGTAGAACCAAGGCCGTCAGAGATTTTCTCATGGGAAGGGCACTCGAGAATGAAGCGAAATGCATCTCCTGTGGAAGCAGTTGTGTCTGTATAGTTTTCTTCTCCTGGGAAAATTAACTGGTTTCTGTTCGCTGATAAAAAGGAGACTCATCACAAAAATAAAAAATATCCAAAAAAGGGGCTGGAATCTCATCTTTTTTCTTTTCTTTTCTTTTTCTTCTTCTTTTACACACAAATGAACAATAGCTCTCCAAGTAAAGAAATTGACTGTAAGTAGCCTGGGCAGTATCTGTCTAGCTCACCCCACATCCTACGGCCAGACCTCAGAGGGCTGCCAGCTGCTTTTTCCTGAAAAGGTTAATGATCACATCAGACAAGGTTACTGGTGCGAGGGGCTATGGGCAGAGCTCCCAAGCCACAAGCCCCTCCTCCATTCCTCTCTGTGGTTCCGCCGCCACTCCCTCTTACAATTTTTCTGAAAAGCCCCATCACTGATGTATTTCCCTTAACTTAAAGGTTATTTGTTGCTTTTCCTGGTGTGGTGTGGGGTGTGTGTGTGTGTGTGTGTGTGTGTAGGAACATTGGCCTATGAAAGCCAACATGTGTATCAGCTCAACAATGATCTAACTATGGAACTGATCAGATCAGCAAGGTGTAGAGAAGAGTTCTCTGCTATGATCTTGGAAACAGTACCTAGAAGTTTAAGACCTACGGCTTTGTTCTTTCCTGGATAGATAAACAAGGAAATGCTACTGTCCCCTACACTGGGGAGGGCCAGTCAAGGACGTGACATTAAGATAAACTGACAAGCCAGAGTTGCCATCTGAGCAATTTCTTGCTACAAATGGTAACATTGTCCAATACCTCAACCATGGGAGCAACATACACTAAGGGCCAGGACAGAGCTACCAGATTCTATTGGCTACCCAAACTTCTTTCTCACCACCTAAAGACTCCGTGACAACTGCTGTGCCTCTAACAGGCAGCATGGTGTCTCTGTCAGGTCACAGCTTTCTAGAAACCAGTCTGTGCATTCCCCAAGTGCCAAAAACATGCACCAGACCCTAGCCGTGTAGGCATGGCTGCCCAGCCACTCAAATTCCTTCCGCTTAAGAGTTCTCATGGGGCCTCCTAACACAATCACAAAGCCTGCTAAGTCAGTTAACACAAGCATTAAATAAAGCACACAGTATATAGCATAGCCAAGCAGTGGTGGTACACACCTTTGATCCAAGCACTCAGGAGGCAGAAGCAGACAGATCTCTGTGAATTTGAGGCCAATCTGGTCTACAGAGTGAGTTCCAGGACAGCCAGGGCTACACAGAGAGACTTTGTCTTGAAAATAATACATAGCACAAAGCAGAGGGAAAGGTCCATTATGTTTCTCCTCAGTTCCCAACATCTTCAAAACACCTTCAGTGTCAAGGAGGAAGTGTGGCAGAGGTATAAGAAAGCAAGCCAGGCTGGCAGGACAGTGAGCCCAGGCATCCATCCATCTCTGCACCCCCAGTGCTAGGATAACAAGCACACCACTACACCCAGATATTTTACATGGATTCTGGGTTTGAAGTCGGATATTCATGCTTTCAACACAAACACTTTATTGACTGAGCCATCTCTCCCGTCACCATAATTAAGGTCTTAAAAGCTCTCCCCCCTTTTTTCTGAACTAACAAGAAAGTAAGGCATCTCTAGGGACTGAAAGCTAGAAGAAATTCCAAAAGTCTTGGAGAAGATAGAAGTGGAGAGATTGCTTTATATATATTTACATATGTATGTATCCATCACATATACATGCATATATAACATGTACAAACACAATATGTGTGTACATATGGAGTGTATGTGTATCAGATTTCATGTTCAAAGTTCTGCCTCTTCTGTGAAATTCATATTGCCATGTACAGAGAAAAAACATGACAGATACAGACATTTGATGGGCGGTTACCTTTGATGAAAGAAGAGATACTTATCGGTTTACTTTGCATTATTTGTGTGCAGGTTGTATATAGCATAGCTGTGTAATTTTAGCATTTAAAGAACACAATTGTAGGCATTTGACCCAGAGGGAGGAGGGGCTTTCAGTGGGGCTTTCTCTGCTGATGCTTAAGAAAACAGTTCTTTGAGAATGATGGATGCAGTTGTGTTCATAGAGATGGCTGGCTTAATGACCTTGCTTGCCCCTGGCATGCGTCCCATGATAGATAGGCTGCGCCAACCTCCTTGGGCTCTATGTCCCCTTATGGGCAGAGACCTGGAAGAAACATGCAGACTGAAGTAATTACTAGGATTTCCACAGAGATGAGGGGATCCTGTAGTTGTTTTGGAGATAGAAGAGCAACTTACTTTCCATTTCTCACTAAGTGACGTGAGGACTCAGTTGTATGAGCCAGAGCCTAAGCATGAGGTAGTTCCCCCTTTTCAGAATTGCTGCGAGGCTTATAGATTATAGTGGTGGCTGTTTTCTTTTTAATTAAATCCTGGTGTGGTGGCATTTGCCTGAAATCTCAGCACTTGGGTGGTAGAGGTAGAAGGATCTGGAGAGTTCAAAAATCACTTTCAGCTGCATAAAGAGTTCAAAGCTATCCTGAGCTACACAAGACCCTGTCTCATGCAATTACTTGCAAATAATTAGCTGTGGTGTAACTCAGTGGTAAAATGTGTGTTTAACATAATAAGGAATGCCCTGGCCTTAATCCCCAGAATACACTTGAACACCCCAAAATATGCAGAAATACAAGTGTCGCTTGAGAATAGTAAAGCGTTCAAACGAAACAGAAACAATAGAAAGCGATCTGGGCATAGTGGACTGAGCCTGTCATCCCAGAATTCAGGATGGAGAGGCAGAAGGAATCTGTTAAATTCAGGGAAAAACATTGTCCCCCCCCCCCCAGCTTTTTTTTGAGACAGGGTTTCTCTGTGTAGCCCTGGCCATTCTGGAACTCTATAGACCAAGCTGGCCTCAAACTCAGAGACCTGCCTGACTCTGCCTCCCGAGTGCCGGGATTAAAGGTGTGCGCCACCACTGTCTGATGAAAAATCATCCCATTAAATCATACACACTAAATAACTGCATATAACTGATCCTGAAATATTCCTAAATATTCTCCATTCACAGATGAATATTCACTGTTTGAATAAAATGGCATCCCACTACAGAGAGGAAAGCAAATTCATTTTCAGTTCAGTGAAATATATCTTGAGCTATAGGGCAATTAATTTCATTGTGTGTGTGTGTGTCCCCTTAGGCACATTCTACTTTTTGTTTTCTTTTGAAATGGGATCTCTTGAGACCTAGGACATCACCATTCACGCCAGGTTGGCTGGCCCATGAGCTCCCAGGGACCCCCTTGTGTCACCTCTCATTTCCCCATCACTAGGCTTCAGGCACATGGTGCTAAGCAAGGCCTGTGGGTTCCAGAGCTCTGAATTGAGGTCCTCAACCTTGTGAAGCAAACACTTTACTGACTGAGCCATCGCCTCAGCCCCATTTCATTCTTTGGAGTAGATGAATAGCAGCATATATAACACACTTCTACTTAAACGTGGAAGCTGGCCCCCATTCATCGATGCCGTAGTGGTGCGGCACACGTATGTCTGTGCACAAACGGCTGGGTTACTGTGTAGACACTTCTTTGGATACATTTGAAAGATAATGTATATTTAATACACTCTGGTTTTTTTTTTCTTTTTGAGACAGGGTTTCTCTGTGTATCCCTGACTGCCCTGGAACTTGCTCTGTAGACCAGGTTGGTCTCAAACTCAGACATCCCCCTGCCTCTGCCTCTGGACTGCTGGAATTAAAGGTGAGCCACATCGACTGGCAAAAGGTTTTTATTATTAAAGTATAATCTTAGTTAGGGTTTTTATTGCTGTGAAAAAACATTGTGACCAAAAGACAAGTTGAGGAGGACAGGATTTTTTCAGCTTACACTTCCATGGCACTGTTTATCACTGAAGGAAGTCAGAAGAGGAGCTCAAACAGGTCAAGATCCTGGAGGCAGGCACTGATGCAGGGGCCTTGGTGGGTGTGGGGGTGGGGTGGGGTGGTGGTGGGGAGAGAGTGCTGCTCACTGGTTTGCTTCCCATGGTTTGCTCAGCCTGCTTTCTTATAGAACCCAGGACCACCAACTCAGGGACAGCACCACCCATAATGGGTTGGGTCCTCCCTTGTCAATCACTAATTAAGAAAAGTCTTATAGCTGGGTCTTACTGAAGGCATTTTCTCAATTAAGGTTCCCTCATTTCACATAGCTTTAGTTTGTGTGATAAGTTGACAGATGACTAGCCAGCACAAGTATGTTAATTGTACAAAGTCATAAGGTCATTAAGACATTTCTATATGTAGTTTAATTTAGTCTCTCTTCTATTACCCTTCCTCTTGTTAAAAGAATTATTTTGAGTTTATGTGTTATGGGATTTTTGCCTGCATGTATTTGTGTGCATCAAGTGTGTGAAGTGCCTTCAGAGGGCAGAGATATATCAGAGTTACTGATGGCCGGCTGCGAGTTGCCTTGTGGGTGCTGGAAGTTGAACCCAGGTCTTCTGGAAGAGCAGCCAGTGCTCTTCAGCACCGATCCATCCCTCCAGTCCATTCCTAATCCCCTATTTTACTGTTTCCAAAATAGTTCATGTAGGGCATGATGGTCTGGGACTTTAATTCTAGCGCTGGTGAGTCAGAGGCAGGCAAATCTTTGTGAATTTGAGGTCAGTCTGGTCAACACAGTTAAATTAGTTCCAGGACAGCCAAAGCTACATAGTAGTAACCCTCTCTCTCTCTCTCTCTCTCTCTCTCTCTCTCTCTCTCTCTCTCTCTCTCTGTCTCTCTCTCTCTCTCTTTCCCCTTCCCCTCCTCCTCCTCCTCCTCCTTCTCCTTCTTGGTTTGTCCAGACAGGGTTTCTCTGTGTAGCCTTGGCTGCTCTAGAACTCATTCTGTAGACCAGGCTGTCCTCAAACTCAGAGCTCCACCTGCTTCTTCTGCCTTCTGAGTGCTGGATTAATGCCATGTAATACCGCGTTTTTTGTTTTTGAGAAGGGGGGAGGGGAGGGGGAGGGGAAGGGGAAAGAGAGAGAGAGAGAGACAGAGAGAGAGAGAG